TTCTATTAACTGCTTCCCTTCTAATCCAATCCTCTTCTTTCCCAGCAAGGCCTGGGCAGTCTGGGGCAGCTGCTGCCTCTGACTCACAGAGCTGATTACCGAGAAGGCTCTGGAGCCCAGGGTAGCAGCCAGCCTTCAGCTGCTGCTGCAGATCACTCCCGACAGCACCCCCCGGGGCTGGGCACCCTCCACAGGACCAAGTGGCAGGAAGGGACCATTTATGGGCTGAGGCCCTGAGCATGAAATGAAGAACTGGAGATGGGATCAGTGCAGCCCAGACCAGCCGCAGGGAGGGCCTCTCCCTTCCCCTCCCTTCCCTTCCCCTCTACAGAGCAGCCAGGGCAGGAGTCCCAGGAGAGGGTGGAATCACATTATTGGAGCCATCGCATTTCTCTTCCAGAGGTTAGCGTGGAGTAGGGAGTGTAGGACACATGACAGGAGCACGGCTTTCACAAAGGACTGTGAACCAACCACATCAAGGACAAGAGCTGGTCCCTCCTCAGGCCCGAGAGAAGCAGGGTTTTAGTGCTTCCACGTAGGTTGGGGTTTTAGAATTACCGGGAGGGGGGACTGGGATTGTGGTTCAGCGGTAGAGCATTCCCCTAGCACCCGCCTAGCACGGGCAGGACCTGGGTTCCATCCTCAGCACCACATATAAAAATAAAGGCATTGTGTAGTGTCCATCTACACCTAAAAAATAAATGTTTAAAAAAAAAAAAAAAGAAAAAGAATCCCGGGAGGGCCTCTTACTTAATGGAAGTAGGGCTTCCAGCAGGGCTCTCTCTGTGTCCTAGGGTTCCCCATCAGCATCGTGCGCAAGGGGTCAAGGGACATTCCTGGCAATAGCAACACATGCTTTGTCTGTGCCAGAGCTCAGACCTCTTGGCACATAGGTTCTAGCTCTGCTCAAACACAGAGTAGAAGCCAGGTCCCGTGGCTTATGTCTCCAACCCTGACTGTCATGATTCAGATAGTTACATAAAACGTGGGTGTGTACGGAGACAGAGAGAAAGATGGCAGAATTGGTGTTTCAAGGTGGAGGGTGTATGGTGTTCATTACTGTATTGTTCTTTCAACTTTTCTGAAAGTTTGGAATTTTTCAAAATATAAATATGATATTGGAAAAACAGCCCAGTGGGCGTTCCCCAGGAAGGGCTCTGCTGTTTGGACACTGCAGCCGTGGTGGCCTGGTAGCTGCACGGCCTCCCTCTGTCTGTCCTGTTCCTCTGGCTCTGCCTGGTTTGCTCCTCTGAAGTTAGGTCCAGTGTCTCCTTTCCTAGCTGAGCTTTGGCCACTTTGCTCTCTGTCCCTCCCAGAGTGGGCAGGGCAGGCAGGCCCTTCTCCACAGTCCCTCCTGGCCTCCGTGATACTAGTGCGGTCTCATCTTGTTCTTACGAACCCAGGTAGTAGGGCCAAGTAGGTATCTGGCAGTTTGTTCTTATCACTTTGGGTTCTTTCTTTGGTCAACCTGGGCTGATATATCACAGTACCTTAGTCTGGTGGCTTACACGACAGACACCTCTTTCTCACATCAGTGAAGGCTGGAAAATCCAAGATCAAGGTGTCAGCAGATTGGATCTTTAGCGAGGACTCTTATGGCGCAGACGCCACCCTCTTACTGTGTCCTCACGTGCCAGAGAAGGCGGGGGGCTCTGGTGTCTCTTCATGTTCTGATGGGGTCCCCCACCCCACCCCAGGGGCTCCAGCCTCATGATCTAATCTAATCAGCTCCCAAAGGCCCCCCGCCCCCCCAACACACACACTAGGAGTTATGGCTTCAATATACAAATTGGGGAGGGGAGCAGGGTGCACAAACGTTTAGTCCATAATAGGCCTAGTGATTGGCCGAGGTGACAGAACTGGAAATAATCCAACATTCATTAATTAAGACATTCGACTAATTAGAAAATAATGTTAAATAAGTAAAGAAAAGAAGATAGTAACTGTCCCTGTGTCCATCCACTGAACGGGCTGACGCCAGGGGCTGGAAACACAGGGTGTTTTTCGTAAAGTTGTTTAAACTCATTTAATTTCTTTTTTCCATATAAGAAAGAAGTCTGGGGGCTTTTCTGATAGCTCTACTCTGTTCTTTCAGAGAGAAAAAGTCTTGATGGCACACAGAAAATTCAGCTGTCAGAATTTCTACCTAGTGAAAGCAAGTTAAGTCGTAAAGACTGTGTCTTGGGAAGAAAGGTGCCTGGCCTTGGAGTCAAGCACTGCTCAAGCCACCCTGAGACGCTGCTCAGGCCACAGCCGGGGCGGGGGGGGGTGGTGAGAACCCTGGGTCCTTGATGGGGGTGCTCTTGGGAACCTCCAGATTCTAGTGGTCAGAGCTTTATGAACCACCTGAGCCTGGGCACACTGGACTTGCCACTGTCAAGGTCACATAGTGGACCAGGAGATATAGTCAGGCTCTGAGCCTCCTGGTGTAGGGTCCTGGCTCTGAGCTGTTTGCCAGCCTCGTGTGTGTGTGTGTGTGTGTGTGTGTATGTGTGTGTGTAAGGGGTCCCGGGGATTGAACTCAGGGGGTTCTACCACTGAGCTACACCCCAGCCCTTTTTATTTTTTATTTTGAGACGGTCTCTCTAAGTTGCTGAGGGTGGCCTGGGACTTTCCATCCTCCTGCCTCAGCCTCCCAAGTTCCTGGTATCGCAGGTGTGTGCTGCGTCACGTGGCTCCTCCTGAGGACCCAGAGTTTGAGATAAACCTCAAGACAAGAAAATACCCCAACCCAATGGTATCTACTGACAACTCCCAGGAAACCTTTTTAACTCCTTATGACAGTTGAGACTGGGGCGTCCTCTGGTTGTGGACTCCAGGATATTTTTCTTTAAGCATTTTTATTAGTTGTTGATGAAATTTTTAAATTTTATTTGTTAATTTATGTGTGGCGCTGAGAATTGAACCCAGTGCCTTACACATGTTAGGCAAGAGCTCTACCACTGAGCCACAGTCACAGCCCGCCACAAGATATTTTAAAAGCTGGCCACCAGTATTAATATATTCAAAGCTGGACATGGTCAGATTGTTCAGCCTGATTTTCCACAACAAAATTATTCCTTCTCTGACCCCCTTAGGTCTGCCTTGTGGATCCTTTAGTTCTTTCCCAACTTCCACCTTCCCTCCGTCCAGATGTGGACACTGGAGCTCACCCTGGTGATTTCTGATGGGGTGGCTGGAGTACAGACTGCTACCCGAGGGCACCTTTTTGGTTTCTTTTGTTTGGTGTGAAGCTTTTGATGTCCTCTAAACGCTTCGTGGGAGCACTGCCCAAAACTGCCAGCGTGACGCAGGGATGGAGCCTGGCAGGCCCTGCTGGTCCCAGTGGGCGTCTGCTCAGGGCCGGCGGCGGCTGTGCCTCCACTGGGAACCCAGAATGGGCTTCTGGTCTGGACTTCTCAACGCTGGGGGTGGGGACACTAGTCACAGGAGCAGCCCACCCATGGTGCTTTGTCTCCTCTCCCTCCGGTTCTGGCTCCTGCCTTCCACACTCTGAGCCTGTCCTGGGGCAGCGCTCCCCTTTGCTCTTTGCCCCCCTGGAAAAGCTCATGCCGTAATCTCATCAGAAGGTCTTCAGGAACTGGCCCACCGTGGCTGCCTTCCAGAACACTCCGGTCACCACTGTCTTCCTGATCCATAGCTGATGACACCCAAGAGCCTGTGCCCAGCCCCGCCGCCCCCCCGCCCAGCCATCCCCTGCCTGTCTGTGAGCGGCTCCCTCTCTTCCGCCTTGTGCCCTCCTTCCCCTCCCTCCCAGACCCCTCCTCTCATCCTGGCTGCCACCGGCTGTCTCCTCTGCTCGGCCACAAGCCCAGGAGTGGCCTTCTCTTCTCCTCCCTCCCCCCACCCGCAGCCATTCCATCTCAGGTCCCATCTGTTGCCTGTCAGGGGTCTCCCGACAGCTCTCCTTGCTGGCTGCCACTCCAGGCCCAGGCTCCCTGGGCTGTCCAGTGTCCTCCCCCCAGGCTTCCTTCTACCTGGCCGCCCTTGCCCCACCCCAGAAATGACGTCCCAGCTGCCAGCTGAAAGCCCTGCTTGGCTTCCCTGCACACGGTTCCTCGCCCCCCTCTGCTCCCAGCCCTCGCCTCTGCTGCTAATGCAGCCGCAGCCCCGTTCCTAGCGCTCAGCTGGCGCCCACGTCCAGACCCTCAGGGGTCTACTGGCTCCAGTCCAGGTCTTCACAGGAGTCCTGCTCACCTGGCACATCTCCATGTCCTTGGCCACGCTGGCAGATGGACAGTCGCCCCACCCCCTCCGCCCTCGCCCTCTAGCGCAGTATCCTACTTGGCCTTCTTGGTGGCACTTAATCCAGGGTGAGGTCATCTTTATTTTGGTGCACATTGTCTGCTGCTGTGCAGTGTCTGCTCCAGAGCTCGGGCCTCACCCGCCAGTCACCACTGCATCCCTAGGTACCCAGCACACAGTGGGCACCGAATAAGTTCCTGTTGAATGAACAGACAGCAAAAACCACGAAAAGAAACACAAGAAACCTCTGTCTCCTTGTCTCCGCCCTGGGTGGCAGGAAGGAGGCCTTTGTCTTCCTACTCTTGGTCTAGCTCCGCTGGGAGCCTGCCCATGGTGCCTACCCCAGAGAGGCAGCCTGTTCACGACGCGAGGTCACGAGGTCCCCTGTGCTACTGGAGTTCAGAAACTGGACGGTCGGCAGTTCATCAAGGTCTCTTCACCAGCATGTGTTTGGCTTGAGGTGGAAGCCACACGAGATCAGTGATTTTATGACATTTTCTAAAGTGCTGGATGCCTTTTCCTTCCTTAACCTTACAGGGAAACTCCGTACGCAGAGCTAAAGCAGAGCCAGCCATCTCCCTTCTCCTTGCTGTGTTCCTGCAGACTCTAAGCTAAAAGCCCTCCATGTCAGGTCCTGTGACCTTGCTCCCCACCCTCAGGATCCTCAAGGCCCTCAGGTGAGCTGCAAAGGACAGATCCTGGCCCCAGCCATGGTCCAAAGGAGCAGCCTAAGCCCCAGCCCACTGGCTAGTCCCATGGCGCCCCCCATGGTGGAAGATGAGAATGCATCTCCGTAAGCCCAGAGACAGACCTCCTGGAACCTGATGCAGAAGAAAGTGGACTGAGAACCTGAAAGCCAGGGATCACTGGAGTTGAAGACAGTACAGGCAGGCGGTGTGGGGCAGAAGAGGGGATTAAAAGGGAGACCCAGAGACCGCCAAGCAAGGGAGAGTTGGGAAGTCAGGTGGAAGAGGGAGCAGGCTGAATCTGCCTCCCGAGGCCACCTGCAGTGCCAAAGGTGCCAAGCAAGTTGAGGGGCCAGCCTGGGGCAACTGCTGGTTCTAAAGGGAAGCTCTTCATCACACAGATAAGGATTTGGAGAGTGAAGCTGCCGTTCTCCACCTGGAGCTGTTGTTTGGAGCGGGTGGTGGGGAGTTGTTTCCTGGGGCTTTGGGGAGAGAATGGCAAGAACTCTACCCAGAGCCGGCGCCAGCTCGTCTTCACTGCCCGGCAGCCAGTGCCCCCCCCCCCCCCAAACGCAGAGGAGAAACCCACTGATGGCTTAATGCAATCCTTCTGGAAGGAGGGAGACTCGGCCACCCGGGAGGCAGCCTTCCCCGCGCGCCGCCTTGCCCATTCTTGAGGAGGGAAAGACACCCCTTCTAGAGTGGGGAACAGCCTCCCACTCCCCCCGCCTAGTGGGGCTCTGTCCTTTAAAATCATCCAGATACCCAGCCTCGTTGGTACCGTCAGCAGGAGGCAGCTCTGGGGCTGCCCCAGCGGATCCTGTTTGCAGGAGCCCAGCCATCTCCCCTGGCAGCAGACAGACACTGTCTCAATCTCATCTCCCTGTCACCCCTCAACACATGTCCCTCCGGCTCTCTTCACTTGCAAGCCTCCCGCCCCCTGGGGTCAGCCCAAGTAGCCATAAACGTCAACACCCCACTGCACAGGAGTCTGGCTTTCAGTGGTGAAAAGCCTCCCCACTGAGCCCCAGAAGCCTGCCTGTCCCCTCTGCCACTCTCTCTGCTCTCGGCCCCCGGGGAGTTGGCTGGGGCTCCTGGCCACAGAGAGGCCATGGGGAGGAACTTCCCTTTGCTTTGCCTCTCCTGCCCCCACCAGGAAAAAAAAAAAAAAAAAAAAGCTGAATTGGAAAGTTATTCCAGAGCATAAGTTAAGACTTGCTCTCTATTTAGTAACACAATACGAGACTGGTCCAGGTGGTGATTGGTGTGGGGTCAGCTGGGTCAACTTTGGGGACCAGCCAGGATGGTGTCAGCTGTCTGTCTCAGTGGGGGCCACTTATTCACAATCTTCATGAAGTTGATCGACTTGCCCTAGAAGCATGATGCATTCATTTGCCAGGTTTCCTGCAGCAGAATACTCCAGACCAGGAGCTTGACAGGAACGTCATTTCTCACAGGTCCACAGCACGGAAGTGCAAGTTCAAGGTGCGGGCAGCTGGTTCCTCCTGAGGCCTCTGCTTGGCTTCCGGATAGCTCCTTCCTCTCTTCCCTCACACCCCCCACCCGTGTTCTCACATGGTCTTCTGTCTGTGCACATTCCTGGTTTCTCTCCCTGTTCAGATTTCCTCCTATAAGGACAGCACTCCTGGATTAGGGACCCCCTAGTGGCCTCATTTCATCACTTGTTAAAGGGCCTGTCCCTAAATGCATCCTTCAGTGTCTCCGGGGGATTGTGCTGGGCCTGGCCCACACTAATATCTGCAGATGCTCAAGTCACTTATATCAATGGCATAGTACTTGCATATGTCCTGCAAACCTCTTCCTGTCTATTTTAGGTCATCTATAGATTTTTTTTTTTTTTTAATTTTTTTTAGTGCCAGAGATTGAACCCGGGGACTCTTAGCCATGGAACCATCCCCAGCCCTTTTATTTTTAGTTTTGAGACAGGGTCTTGCCAAGTTGCTTGGGGCCTCATTAATTTGCTAAGACTGGCTTTGAACTTGGCCATCCTCCTACCTCAGCCTTCCAGATTGCTGGGATTGCAGGCATGTGCCACCACACCCAACTCAGGTCACTTTTTAAAAATGATTTTATTTTGGCAATTAATTCATTTTCTTGTGGTATAGGGGATCGAATCCAGGCTTGTTCCACCTCTGAGCTACATTCCCACCCTTTTTAAATTTTTTATTCTGAAACAGGGTCTCACTAAGCTGCCAAGGCTGACCTTGAACTTGTGATCCTCCTGCCTTAGCCTCTAGAGAGGCTGGGACCACAAGCATGGGTCTCTGCACCTGGCTCTGGATGATTTATAATCCCTAATGCAATGTAAATGTTGTGTAAATAGTTGTTACACTTATTATTTAGTGAATAACCTCCATATGTGTCCAATACAATCAAATTTTTCCCCAAATATTTTTTATCCACAGTTGATTGAATTGGTAGATGGGCCCTGCAGATTGAGGGCCAGCTCTGCTGTCAGGCTGAGGTACTTGGGGTTAAGCTTTGATATATGAATGGGGGTGAGGGGGGTGGCACAGTTCAGCCCATGACACATGGGCAACAATCTTAGGGCATCGAGGAGAAGTCAACTGCTGGGAGCTGGCGGAGTGGTCCACATCTGTAGCCCCAGGTACTCAGGAGGTGGGAGTCCAGGAGTTAAAAGCCAGCCTGGGTGACACAGCGAGACCCCATCTCAAAAAAAAAGAACCAGTGCCTTTTGAGAGCTTCACAATTAGCACCTGAGCAGCTGCTCCCTCCTGCTTCCTTGAAGGCCCCAGAGTGACCTCTCCCAGAGATCCTGCTGCCTCCAGGAGACGCCTGTGCCTCAGACCCAGAGGCACCTGGGGCTCTCCTGCTGCGGCCATCCCGCTGTGATACCAGGAGCTGAAGGCTGGGCAGCCTGTCTCAGCCCCAGCTGGGAGCCTCTTCTGGCTCCTCCTGCCCTCATCTTGCCCCCCCCCCCCCACATGGCTCCAAACGCAACTCTCCTCCTGCTTCTCCCTGTTGAAGGGAGGCTCCGGGCTTCCTGAAGGAAGAAACCTGAACCCTTTTCTGTGCCACCTTAGAACTCTGTGGTGCAAGCCCCGCATTTCTGTCCCCTGGTTTCTGACCATTTCGTGCCACACACCGCCCTGCAGTCATGCCAGGCTCATGCAGTAGCTGGAAAACTCTGGACTCTGGGCCTCCAGGCTTTTGCCTGGCTGTGCCCTCTGCCCAGAGTCCCCTTCCCACGACAGCTGTCAGCACCCCTGTCTCAGACCCTATCAGAGTGCCGCCGCCTCTGAGACTGTCCCTGCTCTCTGCAGGCCCAGCTGAGCCCCTTCCTTCAGGCCCCAGAGTGTCACCTCAATGCCTCGCAGAGTCCTGAACACAGTCTGCAAAACTCAGCGTGCCCCGGGACCTTCTGTAAGGAAGGAGAGAGTGCAGTCCCCAGGAACTGCTGCTTGGGCCTTCCTCAGACCGCACACTCTAGCCCTGTCCCCGTCACAGCACACAGCTCTGGCCCGAGGCTAATGCGCCCTCTTCCTGAGCGGTCTTCATCTTGGTCTCAACTGTGCTGCTTCTGAAACCTCCACTTCTTTTTTCTGGGGTCAGCCTTCCATTTTTCTGCTGTGCACACATTTTTATAAAATAAGAGCCAGATGCAATAGGGAGGGGTGTTTTGCTTTGTGAAAAAGAATAAGGGGGACTGGGGGTGTAGCCCGGTGGTAGGGCACGCGCTCAGCATGCCTGAGGCCCTGGGCACCATCGCTAGCACTGCACACATGCACAAGAGGAACCCTATCACTGTTTCTGTGTTCTCTAAAAGCCTAGGTAAGTGCTGGAGTGCAGAGCCTGGCTCTTCTATGAGGCCCTAGGGTGCTCCAAAGAGTGCTGTTTGCTGACCCTCCCAAAACACCCGTCACTGCAGGACGGAAGGCAGCACCCCCCAGGTCCTCTGGGATCATTGTCGGGCTTCAGCTGCGTCTTCACATGGGCCCAGAGCACCTTAAGGACAGGACCTGTGCTCATTCTTTCTTATTTTTCTTTTCATTTTTGTGTCCCTGGCACCTATTAGGAGAATTGGCCTCTCTATTCTCCTTCTGGGGCCCTCCCCAACTAGGGTGACGTCTGTCTGTCATTAAAGAAGGCATCCAAGACTGGGAGTGGGGGCACACGCCTGTAATCCCAGAGGCTAGGGAGGCTGAGACAGGAGGGATCTGCGTCTAAATAAAATACATTATAGGGCTGGGGATGTGGCTTGGTGTCCCAGTGCCCCTGAGTTCAATCCCCAGTAGCCCCCCCACCCCACCCCCAAAAAAAAGAAGGCTTTGTGTCAGTGTTGGGGGACAGCTGCCTTCCTTGTGCTCACGCAGCACTTCTCAGGCACTTGGCCTGTGACAGCCGCTTCTCCAACTGTCTGGCACCAACTGGACATCCTACAGTTAAGCTCTCTGCACTCCCTATGTGGGGTTGGGCAGACCCTGCAGGTGGCCTCACACCTTCAAGATGCCGGTTGCAAAGTCACAAGTAGGAAACCCACACTTCCTCCAACTTGGCTGTAAATCAGGGCATCCGAGACCCCCTCCTCGGGGTGGATGGTCTGCCGAGGCGGGCACAGCCTCTGGGAAGCACCTCACGTTGATGGGTTTATGATAAAGGTACAGTGACAGATGAACCGCCAGAAGGAGGCACAGAGGGTGAGGTCCCAAAGGTGCCGAGCACAGCAGCTCCATCCCTGTGGAGCTGGGCCGTGCCTTCCTCCCCACCGTGGACGTCCAGGAGCCCAGAATGCCCCAGACGTTAGGGACTTTGCTCTCCCCACACAGGCAAGGCCCATCGCTGCCTCCACCTGCCTCAGGAAAAGTGGGGGCCGAGGGCTCCAAGTGTCCCACTGTGGCTCTGTCTTCCTGGAGAGCAGTCCCGTCCAGGGGCCACCAAGAGCTAACTCAGTAGAGCAGAAGGTGCTCGGTGTCTAGGGTACTCCCAGGGATGTAGGGCACTGCGTCAGGAGATGGGGCCAAAGACCAAACGTTAGGACAGAGCTCTACTTCTGTTACTCAGAAGATCGTCAGGGTTTCGGAGCACTGTGTCAGGAGCTGGGGCACAGAGCAAACCTGCTTTTTATCATGTTACAGTCGTATCCCTGCCTGCTCTGTTGGAAAAGATAGGTATATAAAAAAATAGCCCCAATCTCGCTGCCCAGAGACCCCATTAGCATTGTTAAAATACACGGAGTAACTCATGCACATAATTAGAAAATTCAAATTATTCTGAAATGTGAAGGTTGAAAGGAAGGCAGCCCTCCCCAGCTCTGCTCCCTGAGCTGACGGCTGTTTCCAGAAGCTCCCCCTCTGCACTTAGGATCACCAGCACCCTAACACACGCCCGAGGGCTGCTGGCCGGGCGCTGCTGCTTGCTCTCTCCCTAGCACGCTGTTCTCCGGGAGTGCTGTCAGTGCCCCTTTGCAAGCGCAGTGCCCCGGGCCCACATGCCCTGCAAGACAGGGAACAGCATCTGGTGACCACGGGCACCAGCTCACCCAGCTAGACTCAGTGGGTGAACCGTTGCTCTCTCCAGCTATGGCTTGTTTTGCTGGGCACGGCATCACGGGATAGAAGTCCCGTCCAGAGGGCAGACCCTTAGAAATGGGGTGCTGCATCCAGGGGGGTTCCCATTCCTGGCACCTGGAGAGGCCTGCCTACCTAACCCCAGCCACGAAGACACTCCCTTTGCAGAGTTCAGGAGGTCTTTGGACAGCCTGGACACGTCCCTACCTGTGCAGGGGGCAGCCTGGTGGCACCTAGGTGGCCCTGTGCACACTGCTGAGTGGGAAGAGACAGTACCCCCAGGCAGGTGCTCAGGCCCTGGTGCTGGCCACTTCTGACCACCAGGGGCCTGTGAAAGCTTGCCCCCCAGCTCAGCTGTGTTTTGGGGGTGTCTCCCCCGGGGCTGCAGCCTGCTCTTCATTGCTGGGCAGCTCATGCCTGTCCACTCTGCTCTCAGACATTCGCCCTCTGGGCTTCCAGGTCCCTCCTGCCCCCTGGCCCATGGTATGTCCCTGTCATCCTCCAACATTCCTGCAAGTTGAAGTCACTCCTTCCTCCCACAGAGACCGCCCCGGACATGCCTCCTGCCTTCTCTGTGTGGGAGAGACCCGGAGCTGAGGAGGCGGAGCTCCACTTTTGGGAAAGTGGACATGGAGATGGCCAGGCCCAGAAGGTGGCCTGGAGGGCGGGGCCTGCGATTTCCCAGGCAGCTGCGCCAAGGCCCTGCCCCGGCCTGGCCAGCGTTGCTCTTGTGCCTCTAATTTGCTCACTGCCGTGGGGGATGGGGGGTCCCAGGCCCACTCAGCAAAATGGCCTCCGAATTCCCAGACAAGCACCTGGGGAAGGTCAAGGGCCTGAGGTGCACAGGTTAAAGGAGCCCTGTTCCTGGGCTCAGGGGACCTGGCTGCAGGATAGGCGCGACTGCTGGACCTGGTTACACTGGACCTAGAGCCCCTTCCCCTATCTTCTGTCAACTCACTGCCACCATTTCCCAAGGCAGCCATCTGGCCCATCCACCATTTCACACTCTAGTGTGTTCACACACCCCAAGAGCTGGCCATAGCCCCTTCTCTGCCTGTGGCACTGACCCCTGCCCTTGTCTTGCAGGAGGAGGAGCAGGAGGAGGACAGTGAGAAGGACCCTCCCCCAGCAGGGCCTGAGGACGAGGACGGTGAGTGGGACTCCCTTGAGCTGCAGTCTCTGCCCCTCCTGCAGGGCCCGATTAGGACCAAGCCGTGCTGAGGGTACCCAGCGCTGGAGGTCTGAGGAGGGGGTGCCTGGGAATGATGGTCTGGCCAAAGCCCTGCCCCCTCTGCCGCCACCTCCCGGAGTTTTCTGTCTATAATATGAGCGTGTGTGGGTCCAGGAGGCCCTGGCTTCTGTCCTGCCTGTTTTTGTTCTTAGCACTGGGGACTGAACCCCATGGCGCTTTACCACTGAGCCACATCCCCAGCCCTTTTTATTTTTTGAGATGGGTGTCTCAATAAGTTGCTTACCGCTCTGCTAAATTGCTGAGGCTGGCCTCAAACTTGTGATCCTCCTGCCTCAGCCTCCAGAGCCACTGGGATTTCAGGTGTGTACCACCTCACCCAGCTGACTCTATATTGCTTTTTTGTTTGGTTTTGTTTTTGGTGTTGGGGATGGAACCCAGGACCTTGCACAGCCTGGCAAGCCTCTACCATCTCCCCTGCCTCTCACGAGCAGGCTCAGTATGTCCCCTTTCTCTCCAAATATCTCTGACCCATGTTGTCAAGACAGAAACCACTCACAGGCCGCCCTTCTGCAGACAGAAGGCACGGGAGGGACCACCCCGCCTCTTAGTGGCTGGGGCTCCCTGGCCTCCTAGCCATGCCATTCCCTGCCGTGGACAGTCAGAACCAAGTGCGTGGGGCCCCTGCTGATCTGCCACATTGCGTTTCTTTCCAAAAGAAGCTGAGCACAGACAGCAAAATGTCAGCACTTGCTACACCTGCAGAGCGAGCAGGAGCCCCGAGGCCCTGTTGCTTTTCTGTGTTTTCGACATTTTATAATTTTAAACAGTGAAACTGGCTGTGTCTCCCCCGCTAGTGGGAGTGGTGGAAAGAGGGGGTTCAGGAATGTGGGGCTCAGTGAGCATCTGGCAGTGGGCAGGGGACCTCCGTCCCCACCAGGGAGGCCCTCCTTCTCGGATGTGGGTTCTTCTGTATCATCTCCAATCAGGGACTCGCTGCAACTGGGGCTCTCCGTGTGGGACCAGGATTGTTAGTGATTTGGGGACACAGGCCCTTGGGTGTGCACAGGGGGAGGCCTGGCAGGCCACCTCACACACAAGCTCACAGTACTTGTCCCTGAGCCCTCCCTCCTTATCTGCGCTGCTGTCCCTGGCTAGCCCCTGTCCCCATGGCTTCCTGCCGTCTCTAACGAAGCAGAGGGAGGGGGGCTGGCTGCCCGCTGTCAGGAAGCTCGGGTGGACACCCAGCCCCTCTGCAGCCAGCAGCTCAGCTCCCAGGCTGATTGGTTAGTGTCGCTAAAGTGGCTTCCTAAGCAACTCAGAGATTCAAACAGACTGGAAGACAGCCCCCCCCCCCCCCCTGGGGCCTTCCACATCCAGCCCTCCTGATCTCACCGAATCAGATGCAGCTGTAGCTGTGTGTGGCTCGTCCCTTTTTGTGATTTCAAGTCGATTGTTCTGTGTGGCTGAGTAAAAGTGGAGCCAATCAGACCTGCCAGCAAGGCCAGCCGACCCTACAGGAGCGCCACGCCGGCAGCTGCCTCGCGTTTCGGTTTTCTAAAACAGCAACGCAGTTGTGTTGGGGTTCACTGGTTTTGTCAGTCGCCTCTTCTGGGTTCACACTGAGGGTTGGTGGCAAGTTCCGTCTGCAGCTGCAGCTGCAGCTGCTGTCACAAGAGCGACAGGACATACAGGCTTTGGGGGATAACCAGGGACCCAGGCCCCTTGCTCCTTCAGGATGATTGCAGTGGCTCAGGGTGGCTTCTAGATCCCTGGCCTCATAGGTGGGGAGGGCTAATCAGGGCTAATCTCCAAACTCTGGCCTCAAGAAGCTCCTGATTCCAGGGACCCCGGAGGCTTCTGATGCTCGGTACCCTCTGTGGGCAAGCAGAGCCCTAGGGGAGAGCCAGCTGATGGGCAGGCGGCAGGGCGGCCTGCCCTCTCTGCTCAGTCCACAGGGTTCCCCGGAAACCTGGCCCAGCTCACCCCACCTCCTTGCCTCTCCCACACACACAGCCTCCCGTGTCGTCCCCACCCCGCTTCCTTTTGCTCCTGCCACCATGCTTTGTCAGGTCCTCCAGGCACACTTGGCTGGGCCGTCTCCACCACACACCCCCAGCTCCCTCTCCCAGCCTCACCTGATTAGCCCTCCCTACCTATGTTGTCCGCTGCAGAGCATTTGGGACCAACTACAAAAAATTTGTTTTAGTCCAGGGGTTGAACCCAGGGCTGCTTAACTACTGAGCCACACCCCCAGCCCTTTTATTTTTTATTTCAAGACGGGGGTCTCACAGAGTTGCTTAGGGCCTTGCTGAGTTGCTGAGGCTGGCTTTGAACTCATGACCCTCCTGCCTCGGCCTCCCGAGCTGCTGGGATCACAGGTGTGGGCCTTGGCGTCCAGCTAAATCATGTCTTTTAATTACACATATTTGTTTGCTGGGTGTTCTCGTCTCTGCGGTCTCCCCAGCACCTGGAATTGTGCACTTTGAGTATTTGTGGACTGAGTGAAGAGCAAAGTAATCCTGGTGCACATGAAGTGACTGCTCCCTGAGGAAAGCAGCCAGCGGGGGCAGGGGTATCCCACAGGAGCCCCCAGCCTTCTCCTCCTGGGCCAGAGTTTGATGAAGGAAATAGCCCCTGCAGAGTCTCAGGTCCTGGACCGACATCCAGAACTTTCTTCTCTCCGCCCAGAGGGAGGAGCCCTAATCCGAGAGCCTTTCCTTCCCTTGCGCCCACATCAACCCACCTGCTGACATATGCAGGCCACCACTGGGAAGAGACAGCAGTGACCTGGGTTGTCCTGCTGTGGGACAGAAGAGGAACCACCTGACATTGCAGGGACAGTGGGACACACTTGTAGAGTAGCAGCTGGGAAGAGAAGCCTCTGGAGCTGCTCCCCCACCCAGTCCTTTATATTTTGATGGAAATTAGAGGTGACAGCCACGGGCCACCCCAGCTCTCCAGTCAGTCTGGGGTCCAGGCAGCTCCCTTCATAGGATACTTAGCTTTCCTCTCTTGCTGCACCCTCACTTCCTCTAGCCTGCCTTCACCCCATGTCACATGTCCAGACCCCTGTGCTCCCAGACCTGGATGGCTGCCCTTGTCTGCAGGCGGGGCGCTGCTGCTGTGCCCTTCCAAACACAGCTGCCCCCACATCACCGCCACGTGGGCCAGTTGTGTTTCTAGGTCTCTAATAACCGTGGGGGAGGGATGGGAGAACGTGCTTGGCTGGCACTCCCAAGCCCAGGAGGGCAGGTCCCCGTGGCCCACCTGGCACCGCTGCTTCCTGATGTGAGCCATGGCCGCCTGTCAACAGCTGCTGCCTGATGGCTGGGCAGCGGCCCTGGGCGTGGAGATGAGGTTGAAGGGAGGCCTCGCAGTGGGCGGCTTGGCAGGAACTGTTCACCAGAGAGGGACAGACACAGCTCAGTGGCTGGCTCCACCGGCCTGGGGGGAAATGCCACCCCAGGTGGGGAGGGCAGTTTCTCTCTGGCTGTTCTGTTTTCATCTTGTCCCCATTTCCAGGGCGAGATGTGAGGATTTCATGGAGGACTGGGCTGGATGGGGCTTGTGCATGCTGCCCCTCTTTAACGGGGCTTCTCTGACTGAAGTGTTGCTTTTCAAACTAATAAAGGCGGGGAAACAACCTGGGCTGGGGCCCTCGTACGACCCACCAGGCTCTTATCAGTGCCCCTCATCCCCACAGGAGAGACCTTCTCCTTTAAGTACAGCCCTGGGCAGCTGAGAGGAAACCAGTATAAGAAGATGATGACCAAAGAAGAGCTGGAGGAGGAGCAGAGGTAGGCGAGGGCCCCTCCTGGCACAGCTTGCCCTGGGGAGGCTCCTGGGCACCCAGAGGGCGCAGCCTCCGAGCCACGCCCCGCGGAGCCCCTCCCCTCTTAGTCTGGGGTTCTTTTCTGTCTTGGTGGTTTTCAGCCTGGTGGGAAGGGGAGGGCTGGAGCCCCTTGGCTTCTGTTCTTCCTTCCCCACCACCACATGAAAAAACAAATGAGGTGTCAGGAAAGTGCCCAGAGCATGCCCAGCTGTCCCTAACGCGAGTCCACGACAAAAGCGATTCATCACCGAGGTCGGCTTCTTGGTGCCCCTCCTCTGCTCTGCTGCATGCGGCTGAGGGAGGCGGCTGGGCCGCTTGTTTCTGGAATTGGGCTGCTGCACCCCCACCAGCCGGACTCCCTGCGCCCGCTGGGCTTCCCTCACTGCTTTCCGGCCACGCCATCCTGCCACCGGCCACCTGTGTGCAGGGCGCCTTTGGTTAATGAGCTGCTTCTTTTATGAGCCTGGGGACTGCTGGGGACCGGGCCCTCTGGTGAGCATAACTAGCAGAATCCTCCGCCCTCTCTGGCTGCTCCTGGGCCCGGCATCCACCAGCATCAGGTTTGCTCTCCCACTTGGGCAGGAAGGCCCCAACGCTGGGAGCCTGGGAGCCAGGGCCTGGCCATGCAGGCCCAGGTGGGAGGGAGAGCCACCCGGGAGCCCCCACTCCTCCTTGGGCACTGAGGACTGCCTCTTGACCCCGTTGCTGCCTTTATATTTCAGGATTGAGCTGACCTCTGACCTCACTTCCCTGTAGCAAGTTCCCTAGGTCCTGAGCCACAAATATTCTTGCAAATCCTTTTGGTAAGGAGAATGACTTCCTAGACTAGGTGCCTCCCTCACACTGTCTGCTGATGTGTCCCCAACACCACTGACTGGTCTGAGCCCCCTTCCTGCTGCCTCATAACTGAGTGACGCCTTCCTGTCCCCCTGAGCCCTCCTTCTTGTCTTGCCCAAGGCACAGAAGGCCCCTTTCCCAGGGGCAGAAGTTTCTGGAGGCCAATTAAGTCCCAGAGGGGCCAGGAGCCAGCTGATTGGGGTCCTAGTGCTCCTGGTGAGGTTGAGATCTTGGTGGCTATGGGACGTGGGTCGTGGTTCAGGCGAACCCTGAGGCTGGTTGGACATGCACAGATTTGCCTGTGCTCCTCAAAGCCAGGGCTGCAGCTGGCCACTCCCTGTCAACGCACGCCCAGTGTCCACGTGTTTTCCGTGGTCTGCAGCTGCTTTGGAGCTCTCCTTTGCAGAGCTGAGAAGCCCATGGCCCAGGAAGAGAGGGCTCGATACCCCTGCCACTCTTGAAGGCCTCTGTGGATGCCACAGACAAAGCCACAGCTGTAGCCTGTGCTCGGGTCAATGCTCAGTGGGCACATGAGCTCAGCGAGTGGGCCACAGGCCTCAGGCAGGGCCAGGCTGCCACTGCCACCGTGTTTGGAGCTGGGGCCTCAGAATCAGAGAGAGAATTATCTCTGAATTATTTTCAAAGAGAGCAGCCCCCCCCCACCCACCCCAACCATTTCCCAACAGGGCTTTCCGCAATTCAGACTCAGCTATTCTGTGGGTTGACATTGTGCCAAGGAGCTGCTCGTGGGCTGAGGGAGGGTCCCTGGCTCCTCATCTGCACAACTGCAGCCGCCACTTTGTGCCGTAGTTGAGGAGGGGCTGGCGGAGGTCCTGGCGAGCTGGAGGTCCTGTTCATCCCATTCCCACCTCTGCCCGCATGCCTCCTGCAGCTCGCATGCCTGCAGCATCCGCTTGCTCCCTGCATGTGGTTCCAGTGCGCAGCTGCCCAGGCCCCCTTGGGGCCACCCACCACTTCAGCTCCGCACATGGTGATGCTTGGGGTTGCAGAGGCTGGTCAATTTGGCTCTGTCTTTTCATCTTCAGCACGATACCTCCCATGGGGTGAGGGAGCTGGTGGCTGCTAGACAGTCCTGGGGGCAGCCGAGTCAAAGGAACTGCCCTGGAATTGTCCTAGGAAATATAACACTCATGCTATCGGCAAACTGCTGAGACCAAGGCTGGCCAGCAGGATGCTCTCCTCGCCTGTCAAATTCTTCTCTACCAGACTCTGTGCCTCCTTCTGATTATGTTCTAGGCACTCGGGGTGCCCAGCAGAGGGGCAGCTGGTTAACAGGCAAATGCTGCAGCTCCCTGACTTCAATTGCCTCACCTCAGCTGCCATATCTGCACCTAGAGCCTAAATCTGTATGGGGTCCTGTTTCTGGCATTCCCCTGGTTCTGGCTTGCTCACGGGATTTCAGGACATGGCAAGTAGGACAAGGAGCAGGAGGGCCCAAGAGAGTTCTCAGACACTTACTTGGACATCTGTGCCCTTGAAACTGCTCACAAATAAAACGCCCTCTACCCAGGGGCCAGCCAGTGGTCGGGTCTGTAAATCCAGAGTGGCTTCGACTTAGACCCTGTTGTCCTGTCTGCTCATCTCCAGTCCCCTCTGGGTGGGACATACTCATGCTCTCCTGGCTTTGGCTCTGCCTCTGGGGGTGTTCCTTGGTTCCAGCCACAGCTTCCCTGGGAGGTGCCACCTCCAGCTCAGAGTGTGGCTGGGAGGGAAGGTTGGCTTGCAAGCTGGTGACAGCTCCCCGGGGCAAGAGGCCTCCTCCTCACCCCCAGAGCTGGTGAAGCGCAGGGCTTGGCTGGCTTTGTAACTTGGCAGGAAAAAGACCAAGCGCGGCTGTCGGCTCTTTCTCAGTTCTTCCCACCTGCTAGTCCTGGGGAAAAGTGGAACCCAGATCATACGTTCTAGGCACTCAGGGTGCTGGCACTGACAGATGGGCCCAGGCCCCATGCTCCTGCATCTGAAAGTCTGCAGGACTGTCCTAAGGATTCCAGTGGAATCCTCTGGAAACGGACAGGAGGGGTATCATGTGACATAGTGGGGATGTGGAAGAGGTGGTGGGGGAACCAGGGCTGTGGGACTGTGATTCTTGTGCCTGGGAGCATCTAGGAGACCAAGGACAGACTTGGATTTCAAGAGTGAATTTCAACTTCCGCCTGAGATGCACAGACTCCGATCACCAGGAGATGGTGCCAAAGGCACATAATCAGATCCCTTGCAGATGCTCTGTGAACTCATTCCCAAGCGGCCCTGCTGGGGAAGCACTTCCTAGGGTGCCAACAGGCCAAGAAAGAACAAAACACAATCAGTGGCTATCAGGAAGATATCCCCTAGGGTGATAGGAAGGTGCTCACTTACCCATACAAAGATCAGCAAGCTGCTTTCTAGGCTTTGCAGAGGCAGAACATGCTCTCTTGGGGACCCACGGGGGCTCTGCCAGCTCTGGCCACCTTGCAGACTATCTTGCTGCAACTGATGAGAAGCAAAGTGCCAGGTGTTTGAGAAACCAGCGTCTAACACGCCTTCTGCAATTCCAAACATTCTCCTTCCTTGTCCCTCTGTCCCCCTTTCCCTGGTACTTGTAAGATGAAATGAGTAAAATGCATATCTTTTTCTCCCTATTTCTCTTTACAGAACTGAAGAATAATGAAGTTATCCTTAGCCTCTTCCTGAAAGCTTTCCCTTTTGGCATCTTAAAAGCTTGAGAGATAAAAATGGAAACCCCCAGAAAGAAGCCCATGCAGGCTTCTGGGGTCACTTGCCTACAATTCTGCTGAGACATAAACCCCCAATCAGGAATGCCTTTGGCAAATTATGGCAGGGTCCTTTGGAATTCCTTGGGTTCTGCCCTGTTTGGAGATTTTCCCCGTTTATGGTGGTCACTTTGTTAAGCTAAAGGGTTTTGAAAGATTGAGCTCACACCTTAGATCTGGATTTTTTCTTATTACCCAAATTTACTTGCTATATGCCTTTTACACTTATGATACCACCAATGTTAGCAGCTCTGACATTTCTAAATTAGTTTATCCCAGCCCTCCTCCTTTCATCCATGTTGAAACCAAACCCCCAAAGACTTTAAGTAGTGACAGACAGAGCCCAGGTCACCTATGCTCCCTAGCCCACCATGCCCCTTTCCCTCAGAGCCCACGTCCTTCGCTCTCTGCCAAGTGTAAGAGACGCCATGTTGACCCCAGGTGCAGAGAGCCAGGCCCTGGCTTTCCGGCTGCCCTTCTTTTTCAAACAGGGGGAAGGCCTGGCCCAGCCCTCTTGTTGCTAAGAGGACTTTTTACTGATATTCTTACCAGCTCAGCAGAATCTCCACTTGTGCTTTGGCAGAAGCAATAATAACTGTGTTAGCTTAAAATAGACTTCTGGACTATGCCTTTTCCTAGTTTTCAGATAGACTTTACCAGAAAATTAGATCAGTCCCAAGGTAGTTTCTTGGAATTTTATATTTGACAATATTTATACTATAACAAACTAATCTGCATTTCTTAGATTTGTTGGCTAAGACGTTTTACATGAAAACTTTCCACGGGGTGGAAGGCCAGGAACGTCCAGTCCCAGCTTCAGGGAGTGCGTTCCTACGGCCTTCCCTGGCCTGCTACCATAGGTGCAGGACAGCAACAGAGCCACAGCCACAGTTGGTGCCTTCGGCACAGAGCCATGGACATGGGCAAGATGCCTCGCAAGTTCCTACAGGGCAGTATCTGATACTCAGTGGGGACTCGTCTGGACAGGCTCCTAGGCAGCACCGACGAGCACCCGACAGCCTGGCTCTCTGAACTCAGCCCTCACCCAGCCCAATAAACTTTGAGGATGTGATCTCAGTTACTGTGTGTTTTTTTGGTTTGCTTTGTTTTAAAAACATAATCTAAATAATCTCTTTGGAACTGGTTATTTTAACTCATTTTGAAGCCTTTACCCTGTTAAAAACACAACTGTCATAGCCACCAAAGCCACATGAAGTTGACTCTTGTCGATTTGGGGAGATGTCCACATCTGACTGACCGTCCAAGGCACTCCGCCCCACACTCCCTGTCAGTGCCTGGCACCTCTTTCCTTGTGCAGAAGTGTACGAAGTCCCTATGATAGGCCCCTTCCCAGAACTGACTATAGATGCAAATTTCCCAGACAAATGAGGCTGGGGTTTGGGATTGCGGTCATCCAACTGCTAAAATCCAACTGCTCAGGGGAAGAGACAGGGCTGAGGAGGGCAGGGTTATGGCAGAAGGAGTGTATTCTGTAAGTGTAAGGCCAGGCCCAGAGACCACCCTGCAGGAGGCTGGTGGCCCGGAAGCTTGCTGCAGCCTGCACCCTGGTGGACCCACGATGTAGCAGAACCCTTCCAGGGCAGGGCTGGGAGGTCCAGGCCTGAAGTATGGCTACGTCCTCTCAAGGTGCCGGGCCAGTGGTGTGGAGGGCAGGGGCAGCAGAAGCCAGAAACTGGAGTAGACAGAACCAAGCTGCAGTGGCCATCCATGCTGGCAGGCAAGGGCAGCAGAACAAGAACCACGCGGTCCCGGGCTCCTGCTCAGCCTCACCGGCCTCGTGTTTGCTGTGGGAGTTGCCCCGGGCTGGTCCGATGTGTGGCCGAGCCTCAGAAGATAACAACAGCACGGCTTGCAAACACTGAGGCTAATCTTCACCCATGCCCTCCCCTGGTAAGAGGGGCAGGGCCACTGCAGGCCATAGGGCATCTTTGTGCAAGGTAGAAAAGGGAGGTCATAAAAAGAAAAGGCAGCGCTTTCCTGTGTAGGGAAATCCCAAGGGACGATGCCAGCTGCCCCTGCTGCTGCCCCCTGCCCAGCTCTCCTGCATGCACATCTGGATGTGCCCGTTTCCCGGCCAGCTGTCTTCCTTCCTTCTCTGTTGGCTCCCCCCAAACCAAGCTCTCCTTACCTAAGGGAGCGGTTCTCTTCCTCCTTGCCTCTGTGAGCTGCAAAGTCAACTAGAAATTGAGGACCACGGGGAAACTGAGGACGGTGAACCTATGTGACACTTGGGGCCCCAGACCTCTGCGGCAAGCCTAAGACCTAGAATGCCTGCGTGGAGCAGCTGGAGCAAGCCAGCTCCTGCGTTTTAGGAGAGTTTGGTTTTAGTTTTCTCATTCTGAAAAAGCAAAGGCAGTAACCAACGGGCGAGGTCAGTCCCACCCCACCAACTGCTCCCGGTGGTCTCTCCCCCCCCCTCCTGGGTTGGAAGCATCTTTTTCCTCTTGTCCTTTCTTCTCGACAGAGTTCAGAAAGAGCAGCTGGCTGCCATCTTCAAGCTCATGAAGGACAACAAGGAGACGTTTGGTGAGATGTCCGACGGCGACGTGCAGGAGCAACTCCGGCTCTACGACATGTAGCCCTCACTGCAGACCAGGTCGCCAGCACCATGTGACACAGGGTGTCCTGGACACAGTGCCAGGCCGTTCCCTGACCCTTGGCCCACATATTTGCTACTTTCAGACTTTTGTAGCTTAACTTTGTCTTAGAACGTAGGTGCAGAAGTATATTAGATGCAGATTTGCTCAGTTCTTGCCAGTTGTATATCATCTTAGAGGAATCAGCCTTGTTTTCTTCCAAGGAAGAAACCCCTACCCCTGTGGCTTCTGCTTGCTGGTGAGGTTCCTGCTGTCACATGGGTCATCTTCCAAGACAGTGCAGCCTCCCACCAGGCCCAGGCCAGTGGTCCCGAAGCCCTGACTCTAAGGCTCCACACTCAGCGCCCCGCACATGGTGTGGAGAGAATTCAGGGTGCTGTGGGGAAGAGTCACAGCCGTTCCTGCTGCTGGGGTGTCTCCTCTAATAACACGACAAACAGCCTCGCTGTACCTTAGAAGGATTTCTGGAAGTTCCTGTCGTGTGGTCAGGCAGTAGGGGAGTGTGCTTAGGCAAAACAACGAATTCAAAGACCCAACTTTCACCCTGGGATCCCTGGGCTGAGACAGTGGTATTGGAATTAGTCTCCTCTAAGGGTTTCGCTCATTGAGGCAGAAACTTACTTTAAATATAATTGAGACTTGAGAACACATAATACAGCGAGAACCATACAGGACACTGCAGATAGATAGGAGGATAAAGTCTGCAACGTGGGGCTATGGATGTGGCTCAGATGTGGCTCCATGGGAGAGCACGTGCCCAGCACAGGCCAGATGCCCAGCAGGATGTGGGGCTGCGGATGGGGCACAGATGGGGCTCCATGGGAGAGCACATGCCCAGCGCAGGCCAGATGCCCAGCACTGCAGAAACAAGGCAGCGTGCTCCCTGACACACACACCCCTTTCCAGGACGGGGAGGCCTCTACAGAGAAGGAGACCCTCATCAGAAAGAGCTGGGAAGATGCCAAGTGATCCTGTGGGAACCATGCCTGGGACACCAGGGGGAGCGCCTGGTTCCGGGAGGAGTGAATGTCGGTGATGATGGCAGGGCAGTGGTGGCTGCTTGGCGCCCAGGGGTCCTGCTTCTCACACCACTGGCAGGAACACGCGCAGCCCTGGAGCAGCTGAGTTATGGAGGGCATGCCAAGGAGTGGCCTAAAGCTCTCGGTTTCTTTATTTGCTAAGATAAAACTGAACTAGCACCTAAGTTCAAGGAGCAGCGCCGTTTCACACACCCAGCTCAGTAGCCGTGGGAGGAGAGCTAACTCTCTCTTGTGCGCTCAGATGTGGCTCCATGGGAGAGCACATGCCCGGAAACTGGCCATTTTTCGGGGACCCTCTCCTGCTGTGCTTCTTCCCTTGCTTCTCTGCTGAGGGCGCGGGCTCCGAGCCGCCTGTTAGGGCAAACGCTGGTGCTCCTCTTCAGTTATCTTCGTTTTATCATTAATGCTTTTTTCCTTTTAAAAACTTATTCTTATCTGTATCTGTGAGTGCTTTCTATGACCTGGAAATCCTTTGCTCCTTTTCAGGTCCCCTTCCCTGTCCCCCGACGCATGTCCGTGGCAGGGGGAGGCTTAGGTTTCCCGCTCTCTCCCGAGGCTGTGCTGCAAAACCCATATGCTGCTGCTCTGCTGCCTCGTCCCCTCTCCTCCCCTCACTCTTGGCCCTTCTTTTCTGATTAGACCAAGCAGGAGTGCCTCCTGTGAGTGAGTCAAATCCTCATGGCTGGGGAAAAGCATAAGGAAGGAACTTTCCTACACTTGTAGCACCTCAGATGCTCAACAGCAGAGAAAACTCCAGCTCAGCTGGTTAAATGAGAGAAGTCCACAGGAAGAGCAGCCGCTGGCCCAGGATGGTCAGCCTCCAGCTGCATTCCCCCCACTCGGGGTCCCCACCTTGTGAGTCTTCTGCATACCAGCTTTCCTCATGGTGGCAACATGGCGTAGGAGGTCCAGAAGCAGGAGAAGGGCTACCTCTTGCTTGTCTCTAGGAATAGGAGACAGATGCCTTTCCCACCTCTCTTCAGGTCCCAACTGGTCAGAATATGTCATGTGCTCATGATTCCGCCCACCATTGGGGGGGGGGGAGATGGGACCACTGTGGTCGGTTGACACCTGGAGCTTGAGGCTGGGGGTAGCATCCTCTGAACACATGAGCATCCAGAGGGTGAGGGGCAACAGCCTCATCAGGGCTCCATGCTGAAGGGAGAGGGGATGGGTGCTAGGGACAGGCCACATCAAAAGCTGTGGTGTCAGGGTTCCTGGAAGGTCTGGGAGGGGCCCAGTGGGCATCTGAAGCCAGCGTCGGAAATGCCCAACGTGCTTCCCCTCCCAGGGCATGGGGTCTGCACTCGCGCCCACACCAGGCCGTAGGTGCCGCGTGGAAACACCACTCACTGGCTTGTTCCGCCTACTGGGTGGCTCCAAAGCCACCTCCAGATAAATGGTTCCTAGTCACATCACTTACGCCACCTCGTCTGAGACGTGCTCATCAGCCCACCTGTGATGCTGAGGCTCAGGTCTGGGAAGGATGCTCTTCCCTCTAGGAAACTCAGTGGCTAGAAAAGTCTTGAAATTAAGCCTATTTCAACCCGGCACACATATGTCCCACGGATCCCAGTGTAGCTGGGGCGCAGAAGAATCAAGGTGTTGTTGTCGTAAGAATGTACTGTCAGGGCTGGGGCTGGGACTCAGCAGTGGAGCGCTCGCCTAGCACATCTGAGGCCCTGGGTTCGATCCTCAGCGTCACATAAAAATAAATAAATAAAAATAAAGGTATTGCGTCCAACTTAAAAAAAAAAGAAGAATGAACTGTCAGCCTCAGAATCCATTCTTCAATGCTCTGTGGAGTCAATACCAAGAATGAAACACACAACTTTAACATCCCACCCTGTAAACTGAAACCACTATTTGTTCACAAATGTCAGGAAGAACAACACTAAATAACATTAAGGACCACCGACAGCAAGAGGTGGGGGAGCCAGAAACACAGGGTGGCAAACAGGGAAGATGCCATGCTCCAGGCCATGGCAGAACATAGCAGGATGTCACTACCAGGGGTCCCAGAGCCACAGCAGCCAAGAAGCCAACCCCAATCAAACTCTCCAGGACTGTGGGTCTGGATTGAGAGGACAGGTCTCTCCCTTCACCCTGCTCTGGACCTGTCCCAGGCTGGCACGTGCACACAACACATGGCAGGACCTGTCACTCATCACGCATCTGCACTGGGTTCAGAATCAGGCCGACAGGAGAAGGAGAGGGGCTACCTCTTGCTTGTCTCTAGGAATAGGAGACAAGATGCCTTTCCCACCTCTCTTCAGGTCCCAACTGGTCAGAATATGTCATGTGCTCATGATTCTGCCTACCATGGGGGAGGAGATGGGACCACTGTGGTTGGTTGACACCTGGAGCTTGGGGCTGGGGGCAGCATCCTCTGAACACATGACCATCCAGAGGGTCTACCAAACCATGCTTGCTAGACACTTTCAGGACTTTCTTTCCTCCATCTCCACTGTGCCTCCATCACTGGACAGAATTAGCTGGCTGCTCATTCCCGGTACTAAAAATAGTCACCTTTTCTGGTGGCCATGTGGAAGTCACCCAAGCTGAGGGCGGTGTTGCCGTGAACTCCCATGCTCCTCCCCACCCCACCCTGGATCATCTGTACTGGTTTTCGATTTTTTAAAACTTGAAAATGTAAATAATTTTAGTAAGAACAAATGCTTTGAGGTCATTCTGTTCTTCCCAAGTTGATCATAATACCAAGTTGTCGTCCAAAGGACCTGCTTGTCCTTCGAGTTCGACAAAGCCTGAGTTATACTCTGGGCCTGGAAGGAGGAGCACGTGACAGACTTCATCGGGAATCATGGCCAGGTCTGGGCAGAGCAGGCCTCGTGCCTTCTGAAGGCAACAGGGTCAGTCACGTGGAGCCAGGCACTGCTGAAAAGCAGCAGCAAGGGATGCAAGACAGATGGCCCAGGTAGACCCACAGCCATCAGCAGGCCTGCCATCTTGCCTGGCTCATGTCTAGCCTCCACTTCTCACCACAGGGAAAGTGGTCAATAAGTTGTTTCCCTTCTCCTCCCCTTGCAGCGGTGAGGGAGGGGCAGGGTGTTAGCCCATTCGATGACATTGCCAATTATAATACCCCGAGGCAGGGTCTTTCTGGGTCTACTGCTGATCCCCACAAGAATAATGGCCAATTGTCTCAGTTTTGTTTTGTTCTTGGTTTATTATTGTCATTATATCATCCTTAAAGAAAGAGGGACAATAAAACACCATATCCCTGAGCATACCCTCTCCATCTCCAAAACCCAAGTTAAGGGGACACTGAGAGCAGGCCTGGGCCAGGATGTCCAGACACCATCTTGAAGGACGCTGGCCTTCCCTCATGCACACTGGGAACCAGGGCGAGCCAGGTTATCTGTGGAAAGACGCTTCTCGCGTACACCAGGACGCTCGCTCCTTGGGACTCTGCTCAGACAAGCTCACAGAGCCAGCTGGTGACGATGCTGTCCCTGCTTCCGCAGCCTCACCAAAAACCCCTCAGTGCCCACAGGGCAGACCTGGGGCACTGTGGCAAGGTTGCACGTCCCTCACCCAGCTGGCCTCCAAAGACACCACCACCATGGAGGGGAAGCCTTGCTGGGTGAAGCACCTTGGGGGGCAGAAGTGCTGTCTGTCTCCCTCCACTGGACCTTCCCCATAACATTTCTCAATAAAGCCCTGTGCCTCACGCATTGTCGAGGATAGGACTGCTTTCTTTGGTCTCTTGGCAACCTATCCCACTGCCCTGGCACAACTGGACCAGATGTGTGACACTTTTTTTTTCCTTTTCTGTTTTCCCTCGAGGGCTTCCAGCACATTCTCCATCACCATCACCAACACCAACACCTCTTCTCTCCTTGAGTAACCAACTTTATCAGCTGGGCTTTATGCTTCCTGCGTTTCTTTCTGTTATGGTAAAAAGCCTGCAGAGACCTATCACTTAGAAAACCCTCCACCTTCCTCGTTCTTTTAAGTGCCCGAGCCCAGTGTACTCAGCCTTTCTAACAGACATCTTGTTTCTAGTCTTTTGCTAACTCGGAAAACCCTGGGGGAACTCTGGGCCCGGCTGTCGGACATCTGTGGAAGTGGGTTTTGGGAGAGGGCTCCTCCTGAAATTGCGACCCTTCCCAAGTCGTTCCGCGTGTCTGACGCTAACTGCAACCTGCTGGCTCT